TTTTTTTTAAAAAAGCAGAAGGCATGTTGTTAAAAACCCTGGTATTCCTAAAGCAGATACTACACAATGTCTTTTGTTCTATATTTCTAATTTAAATTTTTGCCACTTCTTTTCCGTTAAAAAATACTTATCAGAATGAGTACCTTTGTATTGTTTTTGGTTTTTACTTCTTTAAAAAGAATCCTTAACCACATCTTTTGGACATTAAAACTCATTAGCATTTAAAATAGTAACAAGGTATTCACACTTACATATAAAATAACAACAATTGTATGACTTTAAACAGAAAAAGTAATTTTCTCATTAATGTTCCTTCTTTTTTTGTTGTTTTATTTTTTTGTTTCTGGTCACTAGGAATGATATCACAACTTGGAGAAAAATACAATCTTCCTTTAAGAACAAGTTTTAGCTCTGCTCGGGGATTTTTTATCCAGATGACTACAGACTGTACAGCTCTGCCCAGTGATCAGCTTCCTTCAGAATTTATCAAGGTTCATTCTAGAGTGGTTAGGAAATGATCGTTCCTGATTTTGCAGTTCCATTTACATATTTTCAGGCATTCCGTAAGATTTACATGCCAGATTTCAGGATGTCTGTGTATTACTGCTTCCACTCCTACCCACCCACCTAACTAACCTGATACTAATCCCAGAGTGATTTAGAAGCTTTTCCTGAGAAATACCAAACTCAGTGTTTCCCACAATTCTGAGAGTTTGATGGGAAGGGGAAAGAAAGGAAAATGAAGTCCAAAAAGTATTTTTGATAAAAAAAAATTAGGAAAACACTGCACCACCTCTTGTTTTAAGTAGTTCTCAAGGTATATTTGTCTATTAAATGTTTAAAAATCCTGAAGTGAACATCTATTTAACTTTAAAAAGTCAAATATTTCTGAACCTTTAGATCATGGAAATACTTTTTCCTGCATATATGTCATCACCTCCACAATATACCAGTTTAGGAAAGTCTAATTGACTCTCATCTTTGCTTTTCTGCTTCCAGGGAATACTTTTTGATGAAAACAAACCATTTAGCTTCTAGGGGCATGTGTGTGTGTGAGTATATGTTATGTGTATACTCATACACACACACACATACATATACACTGTATTATCAGGAAACCACAGAAGGATCTAGTAAAGAACAGGTGGAAACTCAAACTCAGGAATGGGGTTAAAGATTGAGTGAGTGCGGTTCAGGTGAGAGACAAGGGCTGAGACAGCGATCAGAGGTGGAGTGAGGGTCACTGGCGTCCATCGTGCATGTTACTAGGTAGCAAGATGCAGTGTTTTAACATTTCTGCCGAGCCATTTTAAGACCTATCAAAAGCATCATTTCAGATGGAGTAGGTCAAAAAATACCTTGCTTTACACTTCAAAGTGGTCTTCTTTTTATCTTTCACAACCATTAGTACTTTCTTTGTGATATTGTGTCTCAATGATTAAAGTGATTAACCTAATTGCCTATATTTCTGTTGTTTAAAGTCTATGTTTTATTTCATAAGTATGTGTGCATGTATCTTAACATGTGTTTTTAATTTCCTGGTAGATTTCTAAAGTGAAAAATTCTTATAGCTTTACTTCAGCAGATTTAATTAAAATGAATGAAAGATGCCAAGAGTCTTTGCGAGAAATCTATCACATGACTTACATGTAAGAAATATTTGAATGTTAAAGTGATTTAAATTGAGGAACTGTGATACATTTTATTAATTGACTTTCTGTATGGTAATAGACCATTGTGGAATCATAAATGTTAGCAAAGGTCTGTCATTTTGGTTAGGATCACTGAGTGTCACAGAAGCTTTGGGGCAAATGTCATTGCAAAAGGATGCCATTATAACCGATGTTTGTGTATGCACATTCCACCACCATGTAGAATTTGCTCCTGGCACACCATGGGGTTCATTCAGTTTATTCTTTCCCTGTAAGCCCTTAGCTTGATACTTCATAACAACCTCACAATAGTGTCATTTCTTTTGCCGTTTATGAAACAGTAGCAATACAGGTAAAAAGAGAAATAGAACGTTCTTTAGGTTAAAATTATATACAAATAAAAGTTAGACATTCAAAACAACTTCAGGGCATGGACCCTGGACATTATAATAGGTAGTAAGTCTTATGTACATATTTATCTTTGTATGGGAAAAACTTTGCACTGTATCACAGTATAACTCTACTACATAAAAACCTTATTATTCAGATATTGTGTCTGTGCATGTGTGAGAGAGAGACAGAGAAGAAAAATGTATGAGGGAGAAAATACATAATAGCTTTTGTGCTGAATTTAACATTTTCAAAAACACAAAATAATTAGCAGATGGGATCTGTCCAAATATAGTGAGGGCTTGATTTGACCATTTAAAATATTTTTATGAATAAAAATTTATTTTGTAAAAAACATTTATTTTGTTACTATTTAATAAAGCAGTTGTTTCAAAAAGATGGTATTAATACATCAGAAGATGGATTCTTTGCCATTAAGTAGTTGTGACCTAGAGCAAAATCTTCAATTCCCTTATCTCTAAAATGAGACTGTTGAGCAACAGACTTTATCGGTAGTGTACAACTCAACTGTGAATATTGTTTTGCCTCAGGCAATTAATTTAATATTATTTTGTGTTACATTTTGTGTTCCTTTTAAAAATGCAGTGTTGCATATCTTGCCACACATGTGCTTTCAGGATCGTGTGCAGGCTGCTGAGTGAGGTTTACGAGCATGTTCATTGCCTGTACAAACTCTCTGACACTGTGTCCATGCTGGACATGCTGCTGTCATTTGCGCATGCCTGCACCCTTTCTGACTACGGTAAGTTACTTTCTTTGAAATGAACATGTTGCAGACTAAAATCTGTATTCCATTTAAAGAATTTTACATGAAATTATGAATGTTTTAAATTTTTTACTTCAAATATAGTCTCTTTCTTATGGTCTTAGAAAAGACTAAGACACAAAATTGAAAAAATGAAATTAACATTTCTTCAAAATCAAAAAATTCTTCATTCAGAAATTAGTGATTCAAAAAGAAAAAATCTGCAAGAAACTCTAAAGGTTTTCTAAAGATTGTAGAGCCGTATCCTTGGTGAAAATGACAATGATCCAAATTTTAAAGTTCAAATCTGAATACTCAGTAGAAGCAACGTGACGAATACTAATAGAAAGAAATGAATCTCCAAAGTGAGAGTCTACATCCACTAGCTCCTTGGTTGTGAGCATTCTGAGATCGGGAATTATGTCATTTATTTTTGTATCCCAAGTGTACACACAAACAAGCCTTGAATACAAATGTTAAATCATTTTCTTATGTTGAATGAGCATCTCAATTTAGCACCTTGAGATTTCTTAACCAACCAACGATGTCAGTAACCATTATCTAGTATGCAAATTTATAGGACTAGTAGATGATAATTATGGTTGAATAATTATAGACTTAATAACATCAAGATACTAAAATTTCTAGTTAAAATCAGTAGTAACTTTTCCCAAGTATTATGTCAATTTATTTTTATTGGGGGTGCTTTACATTGATTTATTTTCATTTTTCTTATGAAAATGTTAATTTTTTTTTATTGGTATTTTATAGACCAAAATTTTTTAATATAGTTAAAGGTCAAAAACTTACCTTTAGGGTCAGATACTCCAATAGTAGTTTTCTTAGATAACAAAAGATTTAATATTTTTACATTTTAGTTTGAGAGGAGCCATTCTGAACTCTAAACCTATGACTTTTTGAAAGTACTTAAAAAATTTTCCCCTAACCAACCTCATCTTTAAAATGAATGTTTTCAAGTTTATCTCTGAATTTTATTTAGAGATATGCAGGTTTCACTTGTCTTTCCACCTTCTTTTTTGGTTCTCCACCTCAGAGGGTATCCATAGAGACCTGATTACTAGTTTTTATAAATCAGCAAATCTTTTGTGTCTGATTTACTCTATCTTCTGAAATTTCTTTTTAGACAAAATTTCTCCAAGAGCTTAGGCAGAAAATTAGTTTTGTATTTGGTTTTACTCTATATTTACACCCCACTTAAAAGCTAAGTATGATAATTTTGAAATGATATTTAAAGTATGACAAATTTGAAATAATATTTAAAGTAGGGAAATAATGTTTAAGGTAGGGTAATATTTGAAGGAATATTTAAGATAGAATAAGTAAATGTGCAATTCTCTAGTAGTGGTAACCAATTGTTATTTTAAAAATATTATCAATATCTACTTAGGGCTTTTCATCTATATAATCCTAAAAACTTTATGAACTGTTTTGGAGCTCAGCACAATAACAAGGAACTAAATTCTAGAATTCTCTGGAAGTGAATAAAAGCTGTGATAGTGATTGGAATGTATCCATTGCAATTTAGAGTGGATTTGGGTAAGGATTTGGATAAAAATAATACCTTAATTTTATTGTCCCAAATTGACTCTAGGAAAACCACTAATGTAAACTGCATTCACACCACAGAATCTTTAGGTATATATATTAATCATTTTACTTTTTTTCTTCAGTTCGGCCAGAATTTACTGATACTTTAGCAATCAAACAGGGGTGGCATCCCATTCTGGAAAAAATAGCTATGGAAAAACCTGTTGCCAATAATACGTATATTACAGAAGGGAGTAATTTTTTGATCATAACTGGACCAAATATGAGTGGGAAATCCACGTATTTAAAACAGATTGCTCTTTGTCAGATTATGGCCCAGATTGGTAAGTTATGGCTTTACTTTACAGTTACCAATTCAGCTTTCCTTTCAAAGTGTTTTGTGCCTGGTGCCTACTTAACCCAACAACAATAAGGAGTAGATTCTTTTACTTAAAAGTGTAATTGTGTGTCTAGTATGTAGACTAAAACTTTTACTTTGGAGTATTGATTAAGCTCCACCAACTTGGATTTCACCGGACTAACAATTTTGTGGACTGTTAACAGAAGTAGTAATGTCCTTACTATATTAATGTTATATAGTTTAAATTGAGCCCTGTAACTATTTCTGGTTCAGAAACAAACTTTGGTATGAGAAAAAAATGAAATGAAGAGGATAACCTGCTGTCATTTATAAACATATGAGATTTTCCCAAAATTATAACTTTGGGTAAAGAAACATATCCTTTAATTGGAGGGGTACCAGTAACACGGCTGTAGCAGTTGATATAGTGTATGTATACGTGTGCCCACATGCGTGTAGACGGCTGTCACTCATCCAGAGTTGCCATGTATTTCTTGATGTACAGGCACAACTTAATCCCTATTTCTGAAAACTGGGTTTCTTTGAGGACTATATGAATCATAGATGAGATGTGTGGTCTTAATGCAGTGGTTCTCAACCAGGAGTGGTTTTGGTCCTCCAATCCCCAGAATTTGATTGTCACAGCCTTGGGGAGTGTAGAGTCCAGGGATGCTGCTGAACACCCGCAGTGCACAGGCCAGACCCTCCGGCCCCCTCTTTCCTCATCAACACAGAAGGAAGATTTATTGAGCCCAAGATGTTAGTAGTGTCCTGAGTGAGAAACCCTGATCTAATAATACAATGGATTCTAAAAGGAACACAGCAGTAGTATTGGTGGTATGGTACAATCTTATTCTTGAAAATGTATTGCAAGTGGAAATCAGAGATGAATAAATTAATAAAGAGTAAAGTTTTTTGAGGTTTGAGTTTTATTTGAATTGAAAGGACATCTTAGCTGATTTCCCTACCCTCCCTTCTCATATGACATAATACTACAATTATTTGAATAGCTTTGAGGATCTCTTTCCTTTGAAAACAGACTGTCCAGTTGTTGGACAGCTATTCTCATTGGAGCATTCATTATACTGAACTGAAGTCTGAGCTTTCTATAATTTTTATTTATTAGTCCTAATACTTTTTTTTTTGCAGTTTTTTTTGGCCAGGGCTGGGTTTGAACCTGCCACCTCCAGCATATGGGGCTAGCGCCATACTCCTTTGAGCCACAGGCACCACCCAATTTGTTAGTCCTATTTCTTATCGTCTGTGTATCACAGAATTATTTAGTCTTTTCCTGATAGTAACTCATCAAGTATTCGATGATAATTATTCTATTTCTCTTATCACTGACCATCTTAAACCTTTGAAACACCTAAAAGTATATATAATATCTCATATGGTCTGAGCAAGAAGCAAAGTGGGACTTAAGGGCCTAAAAGTTAAGAAGTTAAGAACAGACTTTGGAGGTAGATCTTGGTACTAGCTGTGTAGTCTTTCATAAGTTACTTTAAACTTTAGATTTCTTTTCTTTTCTTTCTTTCTTTTTTTTTTTTTTTTAATTTTTAAGAGACAGAGTCTCACTTTATTGCCCTTGGTAGAGTGCTGAGGCGTCACAGCTCATAGCAACCCCCAACTCCTGGGCTTAGGTGATATTCTTGCCTCAGCCTCTCTTGCTATAGCTCACAGCAACCTGAATTAGCAAAATGCCCTACCTTCTTCAGAATCTTAAGAAGATAACGTCATTCCTGATATCTGAACAAGTTTCTTCTTGTTTTTGTTTTGAGCCAGACAGTTCTTACTCTAATTCTAACTTCATAACTTCATTATTTGTTTTTAGCAAATATTTATCATGACATTATTGTATTAGAAGCTGCTCTAGGTTTATGACCACGAATGGAAGAGGTACATCTAACTAGTTTTGTGATCCTTAGCTCCCACTTTTTCATTGGTAAAATTAGAAAAATAATAACTAATTCAATGGAGAATCTTGAGAATTAGAGACAGTGAATATAGCCTTGCAGGTGAAATGGCAGCACAGTCATTATAATTACTGTTGCCATCAGTGTCACTTGTACTTTTGATTTCACCCTGACATGTTTTCTTTTTCTGCCTTATTCCTCAGAGCTGGGCTTTTTCCTTTATTCTTTGTTTTAAATTCTGGAGTAATTTGGCTTTGTTTCTTTATTCCCACTATTTCACCATTTTATCTAGCCAGAGTTTTGAATAGATGATAATTTTCTTATTCAACTACCTGGATATTTTATCTGTGTTATGATATTACATAATGTCAGAATGCCTTTTATATCTCATTGTTTATAGAGATGGGTGCATTCATTAGGTTGATTTGTTTTAAAAAGATGAGTATTTTAGATTAGTTAACACAATAACTTCTATTTTACAGGATCCTATGTTCCAGCAGAATATGCTTCCTTTAGAATCGCTAAGCAGATTTTTACAAGAATCAGTAATGACGATGATATTGAAACAAATTCATCAACGTTTATGAAGGAAATGAAAGAGGTACCCAAACAAAACTGTTCTGATGTTAAAAAGAAATTCTTCCACTAGTGGCCAGTTACCTTACGTGTAGGAAAGGACCCTGCACTAAAGCATGCAGATGTGCTCATACCCCTTTCTAAGAGCCAGAGGGCAGTCAAAGACAGTTTCCTAATTTCTGTCTCATGTGGAAAACGAAGTGAATGTTATATTGAAAAATGCAGTTTTAAAAGAAAAAACATAGTGCTATCGAGTGATGAAAGTGTGCTTATAAGTTTTTATATGGAATATAAAAGGCTTTTTAGAAAATAGTGACTGGTTCAGCAGTAATTTGCTTGATATTTATTGTTCCTCATAGGCTTGATTTTAAAATAAAAGACGACGATATGAGAAGTCTTTCTAAAATCAACCTGTTCTTTGTCCTTATAAAACTTTTACTTTTGGTACCAACGTATGTATTATCACCTATTTCTTATCTGAGCAAATGTCAAGTAGGCTTGAAGGCTCAAGGAATTAAGTATATGGCTCTTGGGATGGCTATATTAGGTAGCAATTACTAGATCATTATGCAATTAGATAATTTTCTGCAAGTAAATAGGAAGTGAATAAAGTTATCATTTGTGCCATAATTTATGTAATTATTTATTGTGTATTGACTATATATAGGAGAATATAGCCATACACTAGGTACTTAACATATGTTTTTAAATGGTCCTCACCCTTAAGAAGCATAGTTTCACAGAAAGGTAAAATGGCTTAGGAAAGTTAGTATTGTGTCATAAGATGATAAAGGTAGAATTCTGTTTTTTGAGGAAGAGGTTAATAATCCTCATAGAGGAATGAGTATTTCTGTCGATTTTTCTTGGTGCTTTCTTAGTCAAGGATTTAAATTTATTTGTTAAAACAAGAATCAAGACTTCAGTAGCTCTTCCTAATTTTTTTTCTATCTTTACTGGATATAAAAAGATAATAAAAAAAAATTGAGACATGGTTTTGCATATTTTATGACAGCAATTGATCATTATTTGTAGAGAAGAAAATGACCATCTTTGTACTTTATTTAAGCATTTAATTCATTGCTTTATTTTATTTTATGATATCTAAAAGACATTAGATAATGGTTATTTATTCTGGATTGTCTCATGCACATATGAATATGTCTGTTATAGACACATCAGCTATTTTTTCAAATTATTAGTCATGAGAGTTTTATTTTATTTTTATTTTTATTTTTATTTTTTGAGACAGGAGCCTCAAGCTATTCCCCTGGGTAGAGTGCCGTGGCATCTCAGCTCACAGCAACCTCCAACTCCTGGGCTCAAGCAAGTCTTCTGCCT